AGCGGGCTTGATAAGACAGCTGTAATTCATTGGGCTATTTACACTGCAAAATTTCAATAATAGTGTTTAAATATAGCAAAATTTTTAAAATATTACAAGAATAGTCAAATTTTAATATCATTAAAATAATGACTATATCATTACATAGTATAAAATGTGACATCATTATAATAATGACCATGTTATTTTTACTATATTTATAATATTATGGTAATTTTGTTAAATTTCAACTAAGGTATGAAATTTTACATGTAATTATTAAATAACTCATTGTGTGCTTGAACGGATAGGACTAGCTTTACATAAACTATTTGCCAAGATTAGACTTTGGGCTTTGTATGGTACTTTGATGTAAAAAGATTAGAGAAAATTAAATATTTAAGTACCTAACTTACTAAAAGTACTCAATTAAAAAACTCTATCCCTTAACTAGTTGTAGTCTAAAAGATAGAAATGTATAAACTAATGTTGAAGAGTAAAAATAAAAGAGGGCTCCAAATCAAGAGGTATTTTTTAAGATTTCTGAAAAGATTAAGCTTTAAATTTTATACTAAATGGTACTTTGAATTCTAAATCTCTAGAGAGTGGTATTCCTCCGTATTACCATGAAACTTGACTAGTAAATGTCTTCCATTTTCAAGCGAGAAATGTTCACTCTCAATATTTACTGTTTAACACATGAACTCTACTGACATGATATATTATTATTTAAACAAAAAATAAAATAATAGAGTGCACATGTCAAACAGTGAATACATGAAATGATAAAAAAAGTAATAAAAAAATTAATACTAATATTTCTCATTTCGAGCAGCCATGTTAACTTTATGACATTAGTATTAAGTAGAACATCAACATTGTGACCAACCATCTTTCTTTTTCCCCTATGAAATTTCCATATGCAAAGAGGTAGAAAAAGAAGCAAAAATACACCACAATCAAAGTTAAAACTATATAGCTTGCTACAAGTATAGATTTATTTTCTGCTTGAAAGAAACCCCCAAAAAAAAAATTACATTCATTATCTCTTCCTTTGTTGTTGTTATTATTTTTTTACTCCATAACAGTCGATCTTCAATCTAAACGCAAACTAGTCCTTCCAAGTTTCCTTGCTCAATCTTCGCGAGGCAAGGCGTTTAGAAGAGAGGCTCGGAGAAGGCTTTGAGGGTGTCCGGGGAGCCTCCTCGTCGTTCCAGTCATCACCCCAATTCTCATCCCATCCGTCATTATCTTTCAACCTCTGTTTTATGCCACTCGAAACTAGTAACCCCATGTCCACCTTCTGATATGCATAGCCGTTGCTCAATAGCTTCTTCCTACGGAAGCTAAGGAACATCCAAGCAGATACCATAATCAGCAGTGCAGAGAAGGACAAAAATGCAATGGTAGGCCTCCGTGCCGGGAGGTTCAGGTACTTGAAGTTGGGAGAAGAACTCTGCGTGATCAGATCCTTGAAATCGAGGATGCAAACACGATTCCCCGATGTTAAGTTGATCAAGCTGTCAGTTCCTCCATTACCGATAGAAACCTCAACCTGCATAACTGAACATCAAGTTATAGCCACCACGGTTCACTTTATACTCTGATATGGATAGATAGCCCAAAATAAAATGAATTCTCTTGGCAAAAAGATGTTAACAAACCAGTTATAGCCACCAAAAACTAGGCTAAACCACACTAAAGGTTGGCAGATTCTGAGGAATAGAATCTATCAGTAGATAATTGCTTGCACGGCACGTATAATGATTCCAACTTAGCACTCCTATATTAGCATCAAAGCTATTTTTCTCAGCTGGGCTTGGAAGGTCATTGCTATATGGAATAATAACTTTTTTCTTTACAGACTTTTCAAACATATACTAGGCTTTGTTTCAAGTTTACCTTCTTGTTTTCTTTCTTGCCAATTCGAACCGTAGTTGTGTCTAGGTGAACAAAATCTGGAGCAGAAATGTTGACAGTGATAGAGTCGTTACCCTTGTTCTGAATTAGAAGAGAAAGGTGCGGAGATTCTGAAACACAAACAGTAAACTGTAAACATAGTGAAATGATAATTCATAAATATTTCAGCAACTGAACTGCAATATCATATACAAACACCTTCAAAAATAAAATAAAATAAAATAATTCATATACAAACAATTATGCGGAAATAGAAATCATTAAAGTGTCTTATCAATCTTGTGGAACTAAAGGAGACCATCTCAAATGTTAAATTTATTAACACAGATAAAAGTTTCAGCAATCTTTTTCATCCAAGGATCACACAAATAATAAAAATAGAGAAACATATATGAGATATTCAACTTTACACAAGGAAAACAAGTTCAGCCACAAAATGACACACATACCATTTCCTGGGACTCTCAAACAGGCAATCATTTTTTTCTCCTGGTCAGTGCATCTAATAGAAGAATAACATTCATCACCGCTAGAACCCTCCTTCTTTTCCGGATCCGAAGTGACACCATCTCCATTATTTCCGTCCTCCTCTGAAACTCTCTCCGCTCCAACCCCTGCATTTTGCTTCCCCTTGTCATCAATTGATCCTCCATTTCCAACACTATCATTTTCCAACTCGGTTTGCCTACTCGAATTGCTCGTATCCTTACTATTCTCAACATCACCGTTTAAGCCTTCCACTTGATCTTTATCACCTTCCTTCTCATGCTCTTCCCTCGGCCTAACACTCTCATCTGGCTTCTTATTCTCGCCATCTCCCGATCCCCCAATTCCCTTTTTCGTATTGTAATCTCTTTCTGGACCCTTTTGACTAGAATTCCTATCACCCTCATTATCTAAATCCCTCTTTGATTTACCCACTTGATCTTTATTTTCTTCTCTCTCAAGCACTTCCTTTATCACAACTTTGTCATGTGGATTCTTGTTCTCCTGATCAGCTGATCCGTCCTTAGTTTTTTGCGCATTGAGAACTTTTTTCGACTTCGTTTTCCCACTCAACTTGGCCTTATTTTCCAAACCAGTCTCAACACCGTCTCTATCTTTCTTTACTCTGTCATCTTCTGCGTGATTCACAGCAGAACTCAATTTACCATTTGAAGTTTCTGTATTTCCCAAACCCGATAAAGTTTGGGGATCTGAATCACTTGTTTCATTCGCTTTCACCTACATTGAAAATCTAATATTTAGCTAAGAAAAACCCAGATCAGATTTACAATCTAGACTTAAATTCAAACAATTTTTTTTTTCCTTTACCTGCAAAGCAGCGCCAGAGAAATCAGCCACAGGCAATAACAGTAAAATCCCAAGCAAAAGAGCTAATTTCTTTTCCATTTTTGTGATAAAATCGCTTCTCTCTCTACGCTACTACAAAACGATCCTACTTTCACGGAATTGAAACAAGAAATTCAAACAAAAAAAACTATGAGAAATATTATTAATTTGTTCTAGTTAAAACACAGAAGAAAAAGATTTAAATACGTAAATCTATCAATGAAGAAGGATTTAGACTACTTACCTTAAAGAAGAGAAAGAGTG